TAATTTAACCACAAACATTGGTCACTTGTTAAAACACAGAGGTTATGGAGGTTTGAACAAAAACTTGGGGGTTCTCTGAAATAATAAAGTAGACAGTATAGGTAATTGTACTATATGCTGCTTTAACAAAATCCCCCTAAGCTTTTCCCTTTATGTGGAACTTGGTATGATCAAATGTTCCTGTCTGAACGTTGCTGCTTTGGGATGAGTTTCTACTCTGTCAAATTTTCTTCCTTTTATTCAGTATTTGGCAAACTAATATTGTACTCAGGTTAGTAATCAAGACCAAACCTTGACCTCGGACTTGACTGCAAAATGTCTGTGACTCATTGGTTGCAACATACATCACTATGAAATGCACTTAAGGTTCCTTTATGTAGAATTTTTGATTCCCCCCTTAAGCACTCTGCTTACAAGTAGCAGGGTTCGGGGATTTTGTTTTCTTTTCATATGTACATCAAATATAAAATTAAATGAGACGTCAGTGATCTGAGAAGTAAGAGTTTGTTCCAACCCTATGTGAGATTCTGTAGATTGCATTAAACTTAAGTACAGAAGCCTCAAATAGGATAGATTTTCTTTTTTCCCTTGTTCTGTAAGCCAGTAAATATCTGTTTGCATTAGTGTCTTTTGAGACCATTGCTGTTTTGATTCATTACCATGCCTTATACTAGAAAAAATGACAGTAACAGTACTGATACATGTAAGGAGAGAAGACTGGTTAGGATTTTAGTTTAATTTAAGAAAGAAACACAGATTTTTTTCCAAACAGATTACCAATTGGTGTGCAATAGCTGTGTAATTGTTGAAGTGAACTTGCACTGAACTTGATCTGAGAACCTCTCCCAGAGGTTACATTTTACATGTCTAATTTTTAAGCAGCTTCTTTGACTGTGTGTGCATACATCCACAGAGAGAAAATCCCAATTGTTTAAGTAATTAAAATACTGTTTTGCCAACTGTGGGTTGTGTTACAGAAAAGCTACGTTTATAGTGATGCTTATCCCCAGAAGAAAGCAGGGCTACTTTTTATGGAGATCCTGTAGAAGGGAGGTTGCTCCCCCTGCCTCCCCACTGTATGCATGCACAGCTTCAAGTGCTGCCTGCTCTGACCAGAGAGAAAATTAGCACGGCAGAGTATGTAGATGCTTTAAAGCAAAGGAACTTCATGCTGTTCCTCCTAGTGTGTTCAGCTGAGTAACCCAACAGAAGAAGGAACATTGTGTTTTTGTGAAGGAAGTGTCAGTGGTGTGATATAGCGAAAGGTGAAGAGTCAACTCCCTTTTTTCTCTAGTTAAGGCAACTAAAATTTTCCATGTGATGAAGCCTCCTGGCATCCATCTTTGGTGAGGGTGCAGGGAGGAGCTGGCAAGATGCAGCATTTCATCTAGGATTGTGATTTTTTTTTTTTCCCCTCTTTTCCTTTGTACAGATTTGAAGACTTGAGGTTTCTTATGGACTCTGTCCTGAAACCTTACTGTTCTGTTTCATGTGTTTTATTTGAAGAGGTATTAATTTTTAAACAGAACAACTGTTCATCCATGTTTAAATGGTGATTAGTGTTTGCCTGGGAAACATATCATAAACTCAAGCAGAACTGCTAAAATACTCTGCTCAAATGTGTCACACAGACATTTCATATCTGCCTTAGCCTTAGAAATCCTTTTAAAGGGAATTTGCAGGAGGCACAAGAGCGTAAGCCTTCTCTTCTGTTGCTTAACTTCACTTGCCTTCATCTTTTGACATACACATAATGAAACCTCCAGACCATTCAGAGGCAGTTTGTGCAAATGCTGGCAAGGAACACTTAATATATTTGTATTAATCCACTACTTAAAAATCATCCTTCATTTACAGTAAAGGACTGTTCAGTATTCTTTGATGTGATAGCATATCAGTCATGGTTCGCTAGTTTTCTGAAGTATTTGCTATTCAAAGCAGTAATGACTGTGAAGTGCTGTCAATATTTGATTTGTTTTCTGGCTGCAATACCATTATGATAACTGAAGAAATCAAGAAGTAGAGAATAAGAAAAGGAGTGACAGCTCAAATTAGTAGTTTTATTAGGCTCCATTTGTTAGTGTTACTTATCGTTAACTATAAATGTGCTTCAGGACCTCTCAAGAATCAGCTTAATTGTGTTTTTATTAAACCATCACAGAGCCATACTCTTCAGCTTCTAACTAAACATGATGTTTAATATTCTAGGTAGCTACAAATAGGAGATCCCTTAAATTCAAGGTCTTCAAAAATTTACACCTGATGTTTTTGGAATAATTATTCTGGAGGAACCCCTGTAGCAAAGCTAGCTATATATGACAGTCTTTTATACTATTTAGTCATTAACCAAAAGTGTGTATTTTTCAGCAGAACCTAAAACAACATAGGTCTCCCTGACAAATGGGTGTCAGTTTTATTAGAAATATGTAACTACCTGACTTCATCTGTTTGAAGTGTTTGTCTTCTCTTTTTAGCCATGGGGTTCAATCTTAAGGAACTGGAATTTCTTAGCTGTGACACATCCTGGCTATATGGAAAAGGCGATATTGCATTCCTGACGTATGATGAAGTGAAAGCAAGATTGCAAAAATACAGCACAAAGCCTGGGAGGTGAGAGCTTTTGCTGATTACTGCTCTGGGCATAAACTTGCTGTCTAAGAAGCTACATAATTAGTCTAGGTTCATATTTCTAAATTGCATGATGCTTACACTCACTGCAATGTTCAAGGAGTAAATTTTTTGGCCTTTTTTTTTTTTCTTTTACAGGAGTGCATTGGAGTAGTAGTAGGTTTGGTTTTGGTTTGGTGTTTTGTTGGTTTTTGTTTTTGTTTTTTTCCCTTTACCAATAATGATTCAATATCACAAACTTCACCCAGAAAAGGAATCTGTCAGGTTAAGTATCATGAGGTGTAGAGTTTTAAAACAGTTCCTAAAGGTATTATGCATACTGAATTACTCAAACTGGACTTCTGTCATTTATGCCAGTTCTGTTGTCCTATTTTGTATTCAATCAAATTGGAGAAATAAAAACAAAAATAATCATTGATGAATTTAATCCTATAGAAGTTAACTTTTATTTTGCTAGTTTTACCTTTCAGTTATGAAGCTTTTTTCCTTGATGTGTAGTTGTCTAACTTCTGCTGCAAGGTCACATGTAGTTAAAAGAGAATAATTTTGAAACTTTTTAGAAAAGTCTAGCAAGTTATACCCATATTCTGTACTTGATTTCTTTGGATTTTCGGCAAACAATATACTGCATCTTGTTTAGTTAGCTGGCTGGTCAGGTGCATATATACAAGAACCTTATGGTTCCAGTAGAATAACGTTGATTACTTTAGCTTGGCACTCATGAACACTACTACAAAAGCCAGATAGCTAGGCTGATTTTGAGAGTGGTTGCTATACTTACCATTTTATCTATTATTGATTCTCATTCTGTGATTATAAAAGAGAAGTAATAGAGAAATTATCCAAAGTTGTCTTTATGTTCCTTGTAAACAGAGAGGTAGTTTTGAGACAATTTTTATTGCGTATCAGAAAATTACTTTCTGAATTGCTTAGGTGAAGTGAAATTGCTTCTTTAGTCTGTCTAAAACATTCTGGAAATTACAAGATTCTCTTCAAATTAATAGTTACTACTTCAATATAAAGTTTACCCTATTGAAGGTTGTAAGAACTATGCCATGCTTCAGGGAGGCTAAGATTTCTCATTTTAAATGGTTTGGAAGGAAATAAAATATTGAGGTATTATTAAGAAAAACTGCTCTGTACTACAAAATTGAGCTTGTGGTATTTCACTCTGAGATGCTTTTCTGAGTGAGGTTTTTGCACATGAGATAGTGTCTGACATGAAAGAGTTTTTAGTAAGAGGAACTAAATGTGCTTAATACTATTGCCTGTAATCTTCCTTTTCCTCCTACTGTGCTTTCTGTCTACCTTATATATACTCTCAGCTGTCACCTGTAACACACAAAGTATTTAAATTTAAGTCTGGTTGGGTAGATCTTTTCTGAAGTAGAAGTGATATTTCTTCTGTTCTGTTCACCTCCTCTGGTATGCACAAAATGAACATTGCTAGTAGAGCAGTTTTTATTATTCATCATTCACATTTCTGTTGTATCTAAAGATGTTTTTATATTTCCCCTTACATTTGTTCAGGTTATTGGCCCATCTGTGCACAAAAAGTGTATGTTGTAGTTATGTAGACTTGATAATATAATATGCTGTTCTTGAAATGGTTTATAGGCACATCTAAATGTACATAATAGGACTATTCACAGTGAATGTGCAGCTTTCACGTTGAGAACTAAAAAGCAAGCAAGTGTGAAGTTGAGGGTAGGGTGCTACAGTTACCTTACTTCTCCCCATGAGGAACTGGAAGTGTAAAAGATGCAGGTTTATTTGTTATACAAAGAACATGTGGCAAAATTGGGAATGTGACCCAAATCTTTAGAGACCTAATTTAATGTCTTAACCAGAGGCTATCCTTGCCCTCTTCCCCTTTTATTGCTAAACTCTGATTAATACCGACTTTTTATTCATCATGTTTTTATCAAGCTACATTTTCAGACTGAGTTGCACCCGCTTGGGACAGTGGGCCATTGGGTATGTGACTGGTGATGGGAACATACTGCAGACCATTCCTCACAATAAGCCATTGTTTCAAGCTTTGATCGATGGCAGCCGGGAAGGATTGTAAGTACAAATTCCTCTAGTCACCATAGATATGAAATCCTGATTTCCTTGTTCTTCCCATATAGCTAGTTATTAAAGATCTTTAAAACAGAGAATCTGGATATGGTGTTTAGCATTTCCTTCGAGTTTAAGGAACATCTTTTTTATTCATTTGAAAAACACTTGTTTCTAGGTAATTCCATTAACCAATGTTAACAAAGGTTAACCAAAACTATATCTCATAGCATATAAATTCCATGAGAAAATAAAATCATGCAACTGTCATATTGATTCCTCCACACACCACCACCATCCTCCACCAGATGCACTTAAGGTTATTGAACAGTTACTACTGACAGTTACTTATTTGTCTAACTCTGGACAGTGATTTGAAAGATATGTAATTGCTTTTTTATATATTGTGCTGCCAGAATGTTTTCCAGATTCTAGTAGTTTCCTGAAAAGATTTATAATTATAAGAGAATCTTAAGTTTATTGGGAGATGCATACATTTTTACTAGGTTGACTGAAGTAAAAGACAAATTTTTGTTGTCAGAATCTTCACTGGGATACATGTTTTGATATATCCACATGATCTTTATGGGGGAAAAGAAAAAAAAAAAAAAGAAGGGACAACAAGATTGAGAACCCCCTTTACAATCTGGCAATTTTTCTCAGTCCTGTGCAGTCTAGTAATTTTGTGTCCCAGGTATGATGATTTCATACCTGTAATAAACAACGTACTTAAAATGGTAATGTTTCTGCTTGACAAAAACTGAGAAAACAAAAACTAGAGCTGAGAATATTTAATGCAGAGTGAAGTTTTTGTACCCTATGTAAATACAACTTTATCACAGTATGATTTAACAACATGACTTTCAAAAATCTGTTTCCTACTTAGAGGTAAAAGGTCTGCATATAGAACAACTTAGTGTCTCTGTAATACAATTTAACCTAATATTAATTTCCCACAGGACTGAAATGCTCCCGTCACTTTTTACTTGAAGTCCAGTCCGCATCTTGGATTCTTAGTGTAGATTCTTGTCATGGTATACACATATGTATATACATCTTTATATACACAGATACACACATATATATACTATTATGACAGATATATAAGTAAAATAATACACAAATGTATGTTATCTTCTATTCTGCTTCATTACTTGAAATAGTCTGTAGTCACTGAGTATGATGCTTGCAGTAGAGGGATCGTAAAGAACACATGCTCACTGTGAAATGAAGATCTAAAATATTCTTTTGAGCTACGTTCAGAAAGTGATCTGATAACAAAGCTCAGGTGCATTCTGGTGGTGGCTATGCATGTGGTGTCAAAGACTTTCTTGTTCTGTTATAAATAGGGTGTCAAAATGCATATGTAGCAATTCACTTGCACCCAAAAGATAAGAAAGGTGGCTGAGGGAAGGTGATGAATTTTAGTTAGTCTACTGTAACCTGTTCCGCTGCTTTTGAAATTCCATAGGCATTATTTAGCTTATAAAGCTAAAGAAATGTACATATTTATAACAATTTCTTGTGATGCAGCTATCTGTTCCCAGATGGACGAAGTTATAATCCTGATTTGACAGGATTATGTGAACCCACACCACATGATCACATAAAAGTCACACAGGTATGTTGCAGAGTTTGTCAGCTATTTTGTAATCTTCACTTCCCTTAGTATCTCATCTAGCATGCGTTAAAATGTGAGAAATAAATTTATATGAGTGAAAATATGTTGTTGATAGAATGTCTTAGACGAAGGACAGAATAATAATACTTTAAACTCTAGAGCTGATGGTGATGCAGACATCATGTCTTGAAAAATTTTGTTTATTCTAAGCCTCTTCCAAGTAAGAAATGTGTTAATAGTTATTAAAGATTTTTCTGATATTTGTGTTACAGGTTTATGTAACTTCTTCTTGTTAATAGCAGATGTGAGTACAGAAATAAAAGATCAAATGATAGTTTTAAGTCATGAATAGAAATGGTACAGTTTGTTGACAGGTCTAGAAGCAAAAGTACGGTTCATCTATCACAAAAAATCACTTCCAGGCTCTCTCTCCTTTCTTCTTTGTCTATTGTGCAAATTAAAAGAGAGTTCAGGGAAAAGCAGCAGAAATAATCAAGTGCTTAAAGAAAACTGGAATATCTAGATATGGTATTATTGGAATGACCATTCTGAAAATGTTTCCTCAGTAAGAAAATTCCTAAAAACAATTACCTGAAGAAAGTCTGAGTCCTTCTATTCTCTGACTTCCTTCTTTTCTGGAGCACAAGAAGTTCCACCTCAACATGAGGAAGAACTTCTTTACTGTAAGGGTTCCAGAACACTGGAGCTGGCTCCCCATGGAGGTTCTGGAGTCTCCTTCCTTGTTTTATGACCCATCTAGATGTGTTCCTGTGTGACCTGCCCTAGACTAGATGGTCCTGCTCTGGCATGGGGGTTGGACTCGATGATCTCTGGAGGTCCCTTCAACCCCTAGTCATTTTGTGATTCTCTCCAGTCTTAAAATAGTAATGAAAGACCAATGCAAAGATACCAGATACTTGTGTTGCACAGAACAATTTCCCAGCCCAATATCCATACTTTTCCTTAAGGAAAGGAAAAGTTCTCGGTGATTAGTGTTCTTCACAAGCCAGTCATGTTGAGTTTTCAGTTCACTGAATGAATCCAGTTGCTTCTGAGCTTGTCTCATAATGACACATTAATTAATTCTGATGCTAATTCAACAGTCTGAACTATGTGAATGTTGCTTTAATATATAACCATTGTAGTTTAAAGGTGTTGCTAGAGCTGCTTAAACTGAAAAGATGATATAAAAGTGACTGCAGGGCTAGACTGCTGCAGATGGATTCTTTATGAGAGCTCCATCGTAAGCATCTTTAGTACAAACTGACTATGGCTGCAGATACAAACTGTCTATTTTATTTTCTCTTTTTCTTAGCCTCATCTCATCAAAATGTGGCTTTTCAAGACTAAGAAAGCTTTATTTCTACAGAAAGGCATTCGATTGCCAATTCCCTAAAAATACCTAATTCTAGAAAACTGTTCAGTATGTTATTTATTCCTCCTGAAGGTGTACTTATATCTTCCTGTCAGTCTTTGTAAGGATACAAAGAACTGAATGATCTCTGCATAACTGTTGCCATGTTACTCTGGGGGTTTTTCTTGCCATAATTCCTTTCACAAGGGTTATTTCAGCTAATCATAGTACCATACTGCATTCTTGCTGTAGGTAGAATGTCCTTTTGTCAATTTTTCACTTCAATAAATTTTATTAGTCCTAAACTGATACATAGGAAAGGAAATCCCAATTTTTTTCAAAGTCATCACTTAATTTCTCATTTGCAACCATGTGTTAAGTACCTTCATTTTAACTGCAGCCAAGGAAAAGCAAGATCTATGCCTTGCATAGCAGTTGTGTGCGAGGAGTCTGTAGAAAATCTAATAGGCAGATATATTGTTGGGTTTTTTTTTTTTTGTTTTTTTTTTTTTTTTTTTTTTTGTAGCATGCATTGTAGTATATCATAGGTTTGAAGAAGTAGAGAAGTAAGCTGTTTCAGTAACCTTAGGAGCCTTTTAAGTAGATCAGTAGCCATAGTTTCCTTGACTAGTGAGTAAAGTGGCTTGGAAAACGGGGAACTCAGAAAAATGCTTGTCACTAATGGTACTTAAGTGTGTTCTTTGTGAACAAATCTCATTAAAGAAATAATCACTTGACTTCCTTTTGTTACAGGAGCAGTATGAATTGTATTGTGAAATGGGTTCCACCTTTCAGCTTTGCAAAATCTGTGCAGAGAATGACAAGGATGTGAAGATAGAGCCTTGTGGACACCTTATGTGCACTTCTTGTCTTACAGCATGGCAGGTACTGTCATAGTTCAGTTAATAAAGAGGAGGATTAATTTCTCTGTTAGTTCCTGTTTAGACTGTGGATATATATTTACTTTTACAGATACTCACTAAGAGGGTTCAAGGACATAAAGGTTTAAAATGATAAACTTCTTGAATTTGTGGATCAAAATCTGTGAAAAATAAAATTCCAGGAATCATTAAATTCATACCTGTAGGTTTGCCAAGGCTATTTGCTGACTGCTGCTAAGTGGAAACTATTTCCTGAGCACAGTGTCCACTCAGAGAGTGGAAGCTGGACGTTTGGTGCTAATTCAGCCACCCCAGTCACTTCATAATGTATTCAAAACACATGGAGAGGAGAGGTAGCAGCTGGGAGTGGATAACTGACTAGACAGTGTTTTATAAGGAGGCAGGATGTCTTTGGGGGAAGAAAGGTTTAATCAGTGTTGTAAGTCATTAAATGGACTGGAAAAATAAGCTTAGGGTTCTTGTGTTTCATGTTAATAGCATTAACTGAACCATCAAGCTTTAGATAGTTGTTTGGGTAAGAGATTGAATGGAAGGGAAACGCTGATCTCTCAATGTCATTTACAGAATATTCCGAAAAATACAGACTTCCAGTTGGCCAGTCACAAGTGATGTTCCCCAGAGCTCAGTACTGGGGCCAGTTCTGTTTATTATCCTTATCAAGGATCTGGATGAGGGATCAAGGTCTCCCTCAGTAAGTTTGCTGACAACGCCATGTTAGGCAGGTGTGTTGATCTGCCTGAGGGTAGGGAGGCTCTACAAAGCAATCTGGACAGGTTGGATTGATGGGTAAATTATATGAGGCTCAACGAGGCCAAGTGCTGGGTCCTGCATTTGGGTCAGAACAACCTCATGCAACTCTCCAGGCTTGGGGGAGAGTGGCTGGAAAGCTGTCTGGTAGAAAAGGACCTGGGAGTATTGATCAGTAGTCACCTGATATGAGCCAGCAGTGTGCCCAGATGGCCAAGAAGGCCAATGGCATCCTGGCGTGAATCAGAAATAGTGTGGCCAGCAGGCCCAGGGAAATGACTGCATCTCTGTACTTGGCACTGGTGAGGCTGCATCTCAAAATTTGTGTTCAGTTTTGTGCCTCCCCCTACAAGAAGGACACTGAGGTGCTAGAGTAGACAGTGCTGTCTGTACAAAAAGGACATTGAGACGGTAGAGTAGACAGTTGCTTCTGTCTGAAGAAGAGCAGCTAAGATGATGCAGGGTCTAGAGAAAAGTCTTGGAGGGGGACGGGACACACCTTATCATTCTACAACTACCTGAAAGGAGGTTGTAGCGAGGTCAGGATCAGCCGCTTCTCCCAAGCACTGAAAGATGGGACAAGAGGAAATGGTGCCAGGGGAGTTTTAGGGTGGTCATTAGGAAAAAATTCTTTATCAACAGAATTGTAAAGCACTGGAACAGACTGCCCAGGGAGGTGGTGGAGTTACCGTCCCTGGAGGTATTTAGAAGACATATAGATGTGGTGCTTAGGGACATGATTTAGTGATTAGCTGGCAGTGCTGGGTTAATGGTTGGACTTGATGATCATAAACGTCTCTTCCAACCTAAAGGATTCTGCGATTACTGGTAACACACGTTAGTGTGTTCAGTTCATCTTGATGGACATAAGTGTCTCTGGGAAAAGGGAGGACTGAGTACCCTTAGTTCCGTGCAGTTAACAAATGTTTGACTCAGAAATTAAAATCAAAAGCAGAGGTCAATCATCTTTACAATTTCAGACTTTTTCTTCTAATAGGTGCTTCTAAAACTGAATCAGTTCTGCCTCCTTCTCCCTGCCTCCTCTTTTGGTTCCATATTCTGTGGGGAGAAGTAAGGGTCATTCCATATTCAGGCAGGACTGTGTTCCACAGTTAGGTACCAGGTACTTCTTTAGTTACAAATATAGTGAGAAGAGTAAAAACAATTCTTGTCTCTAGTCTGTTTTTGACCTGATTTTAAATGAAGTCATCTCAGTTAATGACTTCTCATTCTTGTGTTTGAGATATGACTTAAAGTGCTATAGTTTTTATTTTCAAATTTATGGTTAAGAAATAATAATTTGCAAGCTAACACGATATATCAGAGGTATCATTTGAGCTTTTTTTTTTCCTGTTAGCAGTAAAGCTTGCTGAAAAAATGGCTATTATGAGTTTTCGATTTGGTATTCTTTCAGAAATCTGAGTTTGATGCTCCAAAGACAAATCTTTCAAATTGCCCACAAATAAAAAATTCTGAGAAAATTCCATTTTAGACATAACCAAATAAGAATATTTATTTCACTACTATGCATCTGCTGAGCTGGAACAATATTTCTCATTTCAGGAGCACCCTGAGTACCCTTTCTCTGTTCTTAACAGTTTCATTCTGAATGATGAAAGCAGAGATCTGACTATGTTAATATTTGACTTTAAAAAAAAAACTCTGAAATTCTAAGGTCTGTAGCACCTTTTTTTTTAATCTTAAAGGACTGAAATCTTTGTACTTTTGATTATTGGGTGTTTCATAGTCTGGTAGCAGCACATTCCAGTGTTGTGGCACTGATATGCTTTCATTCTGGAGACATGAGACGTGAAGGCCCTCAGTATGTTGGCCAACAGCTAGGGATTCAGTGAGAGAACAGTAAGGCATTTTAGACTCAGAGAACTGATGTGTTTGAAAACATCAAGCTTCATCAGAACTTAGCACCAGCTCTAATTGGCCAGGTACATTTCAGACTTCATTACAGATTTAACTTTTGTATAATTAGTGAGGCAATGAAGAAATATTGCACTGTAACAGCATCAGCTGTTGCAAGCTTCTGGTGGGCTAGTATTTAATTGGTAACATAATGGCTCATTAGACATGCCTCAAGAGGTCCAATACAGATGTTTTCACTAAGAAGAAAAAAATTGAGTAAGCAACATGAGATCTGCGTAGAATAATAAGGATGGTTCAGAGTTGTTCATGTTTATGGAGATCAGTCTCTCAAATATGATTAGATTTGGTTTAACTATTTCCTTTTGTATATTGCAACAGGTGCAAAATTTCACTTTCTTCCACAAAAATCTATTCTTGTCTAAAAACTACACATCTGGGCTTGACTCTAAAAGCATATGGGCATATATGCTAGATTGTAATGTGCATGGTAGCTGCTCTCCCAGTGAACTAAATAACCTTATTTAGATTAGGGTGTGGACAAGCATGCGTATTCACATTGACGTCTCAGGTCTCAGTTTTAATTTCTCAGCTGAATACGAATCTCTGCTGCTGTGACTGATTACAGAATATATTTTGGTGTGCTTAGGGTCTTTGAAAAAGAAAGGAAGGCAACTGCTAGTACAAAACTATTTAACAACACAGATACAAGAAAGGCTTGAAAATGAAAAGCTTTTTCAGTCTTTCAGATGAGCTTTTGCCTCATCTGTAAGACTGTTTTTTGAAACTGAAACTGTAAAGAATTGTATGAGTAAGAGAGGACTTATTTTCACTTGACAGTCATTATTATGTCAGTAGGTCCATACGATTTGGAGGCACTCTTAGAGGTAGTAAGTGATGTTGACTAGTCCTTTGTAATTAAGATGCAGGGCTGCTGAATGTAGATGACATGTATCTTTTTGTACAAAATGGAAATCCAGCACTAACCATGTAAACAGACAAGACTGTTCTCAGGAGACCTCATTTATAGTTATTTGGCCTTGGATATGGTTTGTCCACAAACTGTAAAATCATGTCAGTTTAGTAAGACTGGAAAGTGTCAAGATAAAAATAATGCTAGAAGAATATTAAAGCTGTCCTTATATCTGAAAAATCAAAAAACTGTGATTGCTTGATGATATTTCAGAATAGGTAGGTTGTTTAGAATTAATTTTGATGTCTGAGTCTTTTTAGCTTTCTTCCTGCCTGACTGCAAATATGACACAATGTGATTTCTGAGTTCAGATTGCATTATCTTGATCTCTCAAAGCTTTAGAGTTCTTTTTTTAATAGGAGGCGTGTTGGTTTTTTTTTTTTTTTTTTTAGATGGTATGTCTTTGAATTTCTAACCAAATGGCTTTTGAGATAAAAGGTGTTTTTTGTTCAAATTATGTTGCTCCTCTTGATGGAACAAGATATTTATAGGTGCTTGAAAGATTACTCTCTGGTATTTCTGTTCATTAGTCTGAAATCTTCAAAGATTTTTTGATTACTTCTGATGAAGAAAAAAATTTCTGAAATGAGCAAAAGAAATGGAAATATGGCTGCTTGAAAATAATTATACCACTTGGAAATTAAAATTAAAGTAATTCTTCTTATAACGTGAAAATATTTCCTTATTTTACATAATTTATTGAAAATGTAGTAAAGTCTTGGTTTGTTACTTGAACATGTCAAAAAACGTTTGTAACTCTAGATGTTCTGTGTGCGTTTTGCTGAATGATGGTAATTTTGCTACCTTGATGGATTGTATGTATGTTCTTCAGTAAGTAAGAGCTTCATGCCCTGAAGCTCATCTGCATTTTCTAACTTAAAATGAAAAAGAAATACTTTGTATTTAATATAAAAGCTATATAATAAAATACATTATCTCTGTCTACTCACATTGCCTTCTTTCCTCCGAAGAAACAGGAACATTGTAATCCTAAAAAGCAAGGTGGTATTTTCTGACCTGTAATACCAAGACAATTACAATTTAGGTGCTTTGTGGAGGTAATGGTTGCATTTTGATTAGTTGTTTTTCAGTGAAGCTTAATCTTCTGAAGAGAGACAGCTTTAGAAGTGCAACTGTTTCACCATTTACATTATACCATCAGTTAAATATCTATGAATTGGTTTCCTGTTTACTCCAGTGCTTCTTCACAGGCTCTTTGGGACATGTTAAGGGCATATTTGCGTAGAAACATACAAGATCTACTTTTAAAATTACTTCTATTTCTTATTTTTAAAAATCTGTGTTCTTGTTTGTCTTGCTATAGGAATCTGATGGCCAAGGCTGTCCTTTCTGCCGCTGTGAAATCAAAGGAACTGAACCAATCATTGTGGACCCGTTTGATCCAAGGGATGAAAACTCCAGGTGCTGCAGTATTATTGATAGCTTTAGTATGCCCATGTTGGACTTGGATGATGATGATGATAGAGAAGAGTCTTTAATGATGAATCGTTTGGCTTCAGTCCGAAAGGTACATTTTCAGATAGTTTACAACAGATAAAGTTCTAGCTTTGTAAATGAAGCTGCCTGTAATTGTAAACAGTGAGAGGCTGCACTTCCTTCTCTAGGTTTCAGCAGCTCATTGAACAGTTCTCAGGTTGTAAAAACAAAGTGGTTTGATACAGCAGCAGTAATACTCATGTTGAATAGGAGGAGGAAAATAAATTCCAGATTCTGAGCTGATACAAACTGAATTAACTTTGTTTATAATGGAGGTAGCATGATTCTGCACCAGTCGAGAACTCTTCTCCAAAATACGCTATACAGACAATTCCCTGACCTTTTATTCCTGAGGAACAAAAAAATCTCATATATACGGAATATATTATTAGTTTATGCGTTTGTGTATACATGCACAGAATATTTTAGGATTAAACATGAGCTTCTGAATAAGTTATGAATATTATTGCTTTGTAAAAGTACATTGGAAACCAATTCATATTGCATATGAGTAGCTTTTAAACATGTTTCATGTTAATTGTCTATGATTTTTTTTCCCACTGTATTTGTAATACTAGGTGATTTTAGTGGGAAAGGCATATCTGCAATTATTCATAGTGATTTTGTGGTGTTTTTTTTTTTTTTTTTTTGTAGTGAACGTGCTTTATGTTAAATTCTGAGATCTTTCTTTGGTCACAGGATGTTTTATCACTGATAAATTAGCACTATCATTAACAAAAGTTTATTTTATCCTGGTAGTTTTCACCACTATATTTTGGCCTGGAATAGATATTGTCATAGGCCATGCAACACTGAATTTTACACTGGCTTTCTGTATTTTACCTTTTACTAACCTCGTTTAGATTGACTTGTTTCCTTGGAATTAATTCTGTAATGTCTTACTCTTCCATATCCTTATCATTGTATTTGGTGTTTAAAAAAAAAAAAGTGATTCACCCTGGTATCTGAGCATATCTGTCAGTGAATATGAATAGTCACCTCTGATAGCCTTCCTAACCTCTTAGGTCATATGAATAGTTCTTGTGTTGTGTATGTAATACAACATGGCCTACTCTTGGGAACAGTTTCTCCTTCTTACCTGAACTTAAATTTGATGGGCTTTTTTGATGATCAGGGCAGCCTGATCTAGTGGGAGGTGTCCCTGCTTATGGCAGAGGGGTTGGAACTGGGTGATCCTTGTGGTCCCTTCCAACCATGACAGATTCTGATCTGTTTTAGCAGAGGACTTTGGAGCGCTGGTGGCTCGGTGGTTGGACTTGATGATCTTGGAGGTCCCTTCCAACCTAAATGATTCTATGATTCTATGTTTCTATCTCCATGATAAGCTAAAAATGCATTATGCTTTTATCAAAAGAAGGAACAATAGGCTTTACTGTAAGAAGTCCTGTTTTCAGTATCTGTCAAGCACTTGAGTGCTTTGGTGTTTGCTATTTTTAGGTCATTAATTTCATTGTTCAATGAAAGAAAGCTATTAACTATCCCTGAAGTTTAGGGACAGCATTTTCCACTCTTTGTTAGCCTCTTGAAGTCCTTACTTGAAAATGTTGGATTATCAGGTCATTTTGTGATTTTCGGTTACTGTTTTCTTCTTAAAACTGTTATCAAAGGTTGTACAGTAATGTCCTTAACCAGCTCACTTGTGTGGAATGTGGCATTATTTATATACACTTTTTGTTAGTAATGCCTTCATCAGCTTTGTAGATTCTTTTGATCATTAGTTATTTTTCCTGCTAATTTCTTTTTTTTCCCCTCTATGGCATTACATAGGATTCTACTCTTTGAATTTTTCTTTTGTTAATGTTAATAAGAAAATGGTACTACATAATGGCTGTGTTCTAGTCATATCATTTGTTGAAACAATGGATGTTAGATGACAAAGACAGTAATTGTCATATGCTTTCTCCACAGAAAGCTGTTAGTACTTGAAATATAAAGGGGCTGATTTTGTCTCAAATCACCTGGCTAGACCATGTGGCATTACTGAGAAAATCTTCTTGTGGCATATCTGGCTAGTACTGAGATGGGATCTTAAATTCAGTAGAACAGGAAAGCTCCAGGAACATGAAGTCCTGAACAAAGTAACTGTAGGACTTTACAATGTGTTGCAGAAATATCCAAATCAATCCTTGTTGTCCTGAAAGCCATGTGGGAGGGGTAAATTTAACATTTGTTAGGATGTTTTTAAGCTGTTACTACCAGTTTTTACTATCTTTGAGGCATGTACTTGGAAGTACACTCATAAGGCAGAGTAGTTGCAGTAAGGTCATTTTAGAAACAGAGTTGGATTTATCACTGAATAATGGGCCTGGGTGGGTATTTAAGTGAGCTTTTCTTGACAAATTGAAAAACTGAAAGACTTTTTGGAATTATTATTAAAGTGTAAACAAGATACTTTTTTCTTTCATCATCTACTATACCTGTATGAACTTTGAATATAAATTGGATGTTGGAAAAATACCAATTCCACAGTTTATTGCTCTGTCTCTGAAGCGTACTCATAAACTGTAAGAAGTATCTGAATTAAGCCCCTGAGGGACCTCAGACTTGAAATTGCTCTAAGGAAAAGAATAATCACAAAGCTACTTACTCATTCTTTAATGGAATGAGTAGATGGATACACTTTAAGAAACATGAATCATTCC